GGAATCGGTTCTCCGAGGCTTTGACGAGATCCGCGAGATGCGGATCTGCCTCGGCCTGGCGAGAAAGACGGAGCTTGGCTTAGGGTTTATAGGGTTTAGGGTTGAGGGTTCAGGGTTGAGGGTTGAGGGTTTAGGGTTTAGGGTTAACGCTGCAATGAGTTTGAATAGGGTTTTTGGCAAATTTAGGGGCGTTGAGGCTTTGTTTGGGTCATAGGTGTCCATAGCCGGGGTGTCTCAATGATCGTGGTGTTTAATTTTGCGCGTTCTGTCTCAACTGCTTTGTCGTTGCTATATTCTGCTCGAGTGTCGTTTTGATTTCTTTATCTTTGGGCCATGGAGAAGCCGTCGATTCTTGATGGGCTGCCGCCATTACTGTGTACTTTCATATCGGAGAATTTTCCTCAGTGCCTGAGTGATGATTATATGTCGCCCGGTGGTCATCCCTACCGTGATTTGGATGTCATGGAGATGTATAGCGGCCAGGAGGTGTTGACTCAACGATGTCGTCTTGTTCCCCGATATTATGAGCATTCATTTTCGTCTTTGTGGTTCAGATAGTATCCCTACTGAATTTGAGGTTTTGCTCGGGGCAACACTAGGCTGGTCTTCGTGTGGGCACCTTCGATGTCGCTACTGGCGGTCGGCCGCAAGATATGCTTTTTTACTCGGGGTGGGTAAACTGCTGCTTGGCTGTGAAATATCAATTATGTGTGCTATTTTGGTGTTTTTATTTGCTGAGTCACTGAGGCTTATTAATTAGTGGTTTGCCACGTAGTAATTGTTCTTGCTGCCATGGTTTGTGATGTTATACTAAGGTCTCGGAATGCTGCTCCGGGTGAAGATGCATGGGCTTCGATGGTCTGCACCCCCGTCCAGTTCCTTTAGTCCTGCATGCTTTGCAACCTCGACCTTTGATGCTGAGATTGGAAATAGGTTTTATTTGTCCCGTTTAGCTTACTATAGTTAAACTGCATTTTATTGTGACACGGATTTGTGGGGGCTCACTGTGAGCATTCCGAGGCAGCGACATGTGGACCCCCGCGGAGACACCAATCGTGAGTTCGTGAAGGACGGAAATTTGATTGCAGCGGCCCGACAGCAATTCGGATTTCATTGTCGGCAGTAGTAAATAATAATAATAACGACTAATAGATATGATGAATTAGTTAGTATTAGTAAAGCAGTAGGTAACTTAAATTATTCATGCATTATAAATTAGATGGCAAGGCCAGCTTCATTGATGGATGTGATTGACTGATTGACGAATAATACTGTTGAGCTCAACATGTCGCTAATGCTTCCGACGGCCACATGACATTAATTAAAATTAATTAATAATAAAGTCTTCAAGATTCGTATTGGGGGGGTCGGCGAGAAATAGGCATCAGGTTTGGTTGATTGCATTGATAATAGTAGCAAGCCGAGTCTTGCATCTTTTGTATCGAATGGTGGGGCTTGGTCGATCGATTGCTTCAATATTTTGCTGAGGAGATGGAAAGCCACTTGATGCAGCTGTGCTACAACATCCGTGTGTTCTCGGTGATCGAGCAGCCGGCCAATTCTGTGTTTTTCTCATTTCCCGACGTAGAGGCACTTCGCCATCGTCATTTGAGCAGGTTGTTTAGATTTTGGAGTTAGAATGCAGAACAGAATGGTTTGAATATAGCCAGGGTGTGCACTGGATGCCGTGTGCGAGGTATCATTGGCTGCTTGTGGGTGCCAGAAAGTGTCCTTCAGCATGGGGACCTTTGGTCATCGCTCACCGAATCCGGGATTGCAAGTTGAGTGGTTTCACCCATGAGTCTTTGTAATTGCACGCTAGGTAATGCGGTAGGATCGGTTGGGTTTGATCTGCTCAGGAAGCCAACACAACTCATGGGCACGGATCTGTTCACGATGCGGGCTCTTGCTGCTATGGCGGCCGAGAGAGTTTTGAGAGAGCAGTTCCTAGGCATGCATTTCAGGAGATCGGTTGTGGCGGTGAGGTTGTTGCTGCCCACGCTATAGCAGCAAGAGGCAATCTAGGATAAGTGTCCCTCAACTGGTCAGATTGTCAATCTGAATGCACTGAGGTTCTTCCTTCGAGCTGGAGATGTGCTGCCTGCTTCTGAAGATGCCGGTTCATGGACGGCAGCGAGTCCGACGGCTGAATCGCAGGCCTATCCGGCGACCTTCGGGGAAGCAGACGCATGTCTTAGATATGGTTGTTCACCTATTGCCAAAAAAACTTGTGGTTTGCTGCTTCGTTCGTTTATGTTGGAATAATTAGTTGACCTGGAGCCTTGGTTGGTTTGATTGTTTTGCCGGGTTCGCATATTGAGGTGGCTGGCTTCATCAAAATCAGACGCGAGCACGATCCGCAAACTTTGCTCGATGAAGTCAATTGGATAATACCTGATTTTGGCAGGGCCCTAGCAGCACTTGTGTCATGGCATGATTAGTGCTCGATGTGTTTATTTCTTAGTCTGATATTTGGGAAAATGTGTCAATGATAGATGGGAAAGGCGCGATCTAGGGGTGCTTGTGCGATAGTCTAGTAATCGCAAAGACATGAAGTAATTTTTGATTGGATTCGCTTTCGTTGGGCATGCTGGGCAGTTTCGTTATTACTTGTGTCGACTGGTCGCATTGATTATTGTTGTTATTCATCCAAACTTAGATGAAACTATTATAAGCATCTCCTCCCAGGACTTGGACGATCGCTCGGGTCTGCCATTGGCTCCGAATCGCAAAATTGGAAAGAATGATCCTGTACCTTTGCTGGCCGTGCAAGCATTGGAGGTGGCTGCCATTCAGTTTTTGAGCTGGGGTGCTGGTTCTGGGTTCTTTGCAACCGTTCTGGCAGTGCAGTGGCAAGTATCTCTGGTACTAGTGAGTGCTTTCCTTTGTCAGTGCCATGGCTAGTATTGTACTGTAGTATTGACCAACACTTATCAAATGAGCTAGGACTTCTGAGTTGGGACTAGGTGAGAAAATGCAAAAAAAAATAAATGTAATAAATGAATAAATAATATGCTTGTGCTCAGCTTTGCACCGTAACCATTGCAGCTCCGTTGGCAAGAGTAGTTTTTCTCCTGGCCAGGTGATCAATCTTTGGGCCGAAGATCCGTGGATGCATCCGCGGTATGCGAGGTTTCGCGACTCTAGTTTTGCATTTTGGCCGTGGTTTGGGGGGTGGTGTATAGTATTAAATTAAATAGATCAAATTATTAGAATGGGCAGTTAGGAGGGACATTGTGCCACAAGCAGATGTTCTTGTGTTTAAACCCACGGACTGCATGACAAGGCTGGTTCAGGCCCGCCCTGCAACTGTTATATGTTTGGGAGTCTTCCCACGGATTTCCTGTTATTGTTGCAGCCCCAAGGAAGCGAATCCGCACTTGCTCCTCCTTCACGAGGGATGGGAGATCCTAGACAGGGTGGAAGACGATGACGATGCTTTGTTTGCATAGAGTCGATGCAAATTGTGGCTGTCAAGTCTGTTGGTGGATTCTCGGTTCATGTGCTTCAGAAGTGTGGGGAAGGAAACAGAACAAGTTGTCTGTCTCAGGTGGCAATGGACCAGCAGGAGGGAGCCGCCTAGTTGGTGTCTCTTTGGGATTGATTGGCCATCCCGGAGGCTTGGCGGCCAAATCTGTTTGGGAATGTGTCTTGTAAGATCCTGAGATACTACTTATTATTCTGTATTATTGATCTATTTATCATAGGCTAATAGAGCCGGATTGGTTTTTCCTGAAATTGAGCAATAAATATAATAAATAAGTTCTCAGCCCCTGGGTTATTAATTGCAAGCAAATGTTTTGAAGGAGTCATCGGGTCATGAGTCATGCCCCGGTGCCCATTGTTCCCAACCCTGAACCGCCGCAGGTTTTGTTGCATCTGTGGGAATGCCCACGTCCTGGCTGGTGCCGCTAGAAGCATCTTCTTAATGATGATAGGGAAGGATTTCTGCAGGGACAGAAAATGGGGCTGCTTTGCCTGTGCTTCAGCTGCTGCAGAAAACTAGGAGTCCATTGTTTGTAAGTTTGTGCGGACTAGCCGCAAGCTAAGTTTGTGCGGACTAGCCGCAAGCTAAAGTTTGTAGTTTGTGTGGACCAGCCGCACATGAATGGAGCGGCCTAGCCGCTCATTTTATTTAGTATTTAGTAGTGTATATTGTGTAAATTACATAAGAAGTGTATGCCACGGACTAGCCGTCACGAAAGCACTAGTACAGCTGGGTTGTCTAATATTTATAATAATAAGTAAATTAAATTAATAAATTAAATGAACACTAAATAAATAATTATAAACACAGTAGTGCTCTCGTGGGCAGAGGACTAGCCGCTGCTTGTATTGTTGCCTGGGAAGCGGACTAGCCGCTTTGAGGCAACATTGTGACTAGTAAGAATAATAACATATTTATTATTATGGCATTTTTAGTTCGTCGTGGGTAGGCTTCCTGGGTTTTAATAAACTGAGCCAGAAGCAATTCAAATTAGTAGTTCAGTTGGCGGACTAGCTGCGAACTGAAGTACTACTTGTGTAGTTAGTAGTAGGAACAAGTAATTAATAGGCTCCGGAACATAGCGGATATCCGCTATAAATATATGTAGTGGCTAGCCTTGGCTTTGCCAAATGCTGGGGTCTCGATCCGCTTAATTAGTACTATTTCTGAAGCATTATCCAGTAAAATAACAGCAGCTGTTGGTTCAGTCAGTTGGCGGACTTGCCGCCCAAGGGTTGCACAATTATTAGAGTAGTTAGTTATAGTCTACAGCAGACACTGTATAGCTAAAGCAAGACCCAGCACTTTCAGCAATAATAAAGCCATTGTACAGCAGCTGATACTCGTTTGCCGAGTAGCCGGTTTTACTGTTCTTTGAATTGGCAAGCTTGTGAGAGTGGGGTTTCCAAAGCTTTCAGGAACCGCAGTCCTGTAGAGAGCCCCAAAGCATTCGCTTGGAGAAACTTTTGCTCGCTCAAGCGCTGGTTTCTTTTTGAGCGGGGGTGAGTTGCTGATGATGCTGAAGCGAAGGGTGACGAGGACCGGAATTCCAAAAGTATGCTTGCAAGCTTATTCTGTCTGTAGTCTGCCAGAGGTACGCACTGCCAACCAAGCAGCCTATGAAAGCTACTTTCGTTGATTGATTCATTGTCAAATAATTCAATTCACCAACTACTAGACTAATGTCCCCAGCCCTTTCAGATTTCAGGACATTGTCCACCCGTTCCGTGGAGCCCCCAGTGGCGGATGAGAAGGACGAAGCCGCCGGCTTCCTGATGTCGTCTGCACACTCCCGCCTGGCCAAAGCGCTTACAGGAGGTGGCTCAAGTCATCATTGCAAACCTGACTGACCATTCGTTTAATTTAACCCCGGCCCTTTCCTCGCCCTGCTGCAGGTGACGTTGACGGGGCTTCCAAGAAGCAGAAGAAGGGCAAGGACAAGAAGAACAAGAAACGATTATTGGCTGATTGTGTGCAAGGGTTGGAATTTGTGTTGTCATTCAGTGGGACTTGTGATCAGGTGCGGACTCATCGGAATCCTCGAGCGCCGAATCCGCACAGGAGGGGATGGCGGAGCTGGCATCCATCTTTGGGCTCCCCAACAAAGAGTTCGTTCGTAGCTCGAAGCAGGCTCGTGCTGAGGATCTTTCGGCCAAGCAGTTGGCGATGGCAGTCACCAATATCGCTACTTGTGTATGTTCTCAAGATGTGATGGAAATCGGCGGGGACGCCGCTTCTAAGTTGAATTTATGTTATGTCACGGGGCTTTGCCAATTGGAGACATTCGATTTTGTTGAATCGTGCACTGGACCAACTGGAGGGGACACTTGCTTTCGACCTTGCTTGTTTCTGTTGTAAGAAGTGCAGCCCGAGACCCCATGTCTGATGCATGCCAGTCGGCAAACTTGTCAGGAAGCACTGCTCTCCCAGAACAAGGACAGGTTCAAAAAGATGAAGAACAAGGAGGGTGAAGGCGATGCAATCAATCAGGACTGCAGTTCATGCACTGACTCACTGACTGTGTTCGGATTGCTGTGCGCTGGTTGCCGCGATATAGTTATAGACCCAGTGCTCCTCTCCAGGCCAGAGCAGCGAGCATGAGATGGAAGAAACGACTGGCGAATCTGACTCAGCTTGGCTGCCTGGCTACAGATCTTTGTTTGGCAGCTTCGTGTGAAACCAAATAATATTAGCAAGTTTCCAGTCGCCCAAACCCAGTCTGTGGGAAAAGCCTCTCGTCCATCAACATCATGAATGCGAAGACTATGGAGGATGTGGGGATTTTGCTCCGTAGCTTGGCGAAGAGCTACCGAAAGCTCCCCGGCTAAATATTACTGTAGTCCTCAGTCTTGCGAATCTGGCCCAATTGGTTCCGAAACTTTGCTGCCGAGCCAACAGTGCTTCAGGAAGCAGAAGATTTCCACTGAGCAGCTGGAGAAGATGGTCGCCGAGAGATTCTCAGAGCTGAAGCAGGAGACCCGACTGACTGAACTTTGTGAGTAGTAGTAAATCAAATCAAGTTTGAGGTTTGGTGACCTGTCAGTGCACTGCCTGCTTCTTGTAAGGGTCCAGTCTGCTAGTACAAATGCCACTTCCATTGATTGATTGAATGCAGCAATCCAAGAATAAAGTGCCGGTTGCTTGATTCAAGTGATCAGCAGCAATTTGGGCTTTGTTCTTTCAGCGGCCTTTCCTCGCGAAGCTTCCCTCGGTGTTTCATGGCGGCGAAGAGGAAGCTGGCGGATGACGTGCCTGCCTCCGACAACCCCTTCCACGACATGTTGTCGCACATCGACAAGCTCGTGAAGCACCTGGACAAGGAGCGGAAGGAGAAGATTGAGAAGAAGGAGAAGCTCCTGGAGCTGAGGGCACGCCAGCTCAAGAACCGCGAGTTGAGGTTGGAGGAACGCGAGAAGGCCGTGGCAGATGCTCAAGAGGCCCTGAAGGAAAGTCGGAGTTCCATGCAGGGATGTGAGTGGTGTTGCCCCCCAGCTGGCAAAGGCAAAGGCCAAGGCCCAGGCACGTGGCACTGTCCCAATAATTACTATTCCTGGTGATGCAATGTAATGTAGTTTGATCCGAGGAAGAATATAATATATAAATAATACTAGACCCTAGCGATAGCAGGAAATATGCTGCTGGAACCGGGACCTGTGCACAGCCTCAGACCGACACACGTGTCGCAGCTGCTTGATTTTGTCTGGAGCTCGAAGCCCAAGTGAAAGCCTTGCTATCCACAGAAAAATAGAAATGAAAGGGCTCGACAGTGGGTTGTTGGTTCATTCATTGATTTCAAGAGCACTGCCTGGACCTGTGTTATCAAATTTGTGATTGTCATGATTTGCAGCAGATTCTCAGTCAGTGAGTGAAGCTACCGCGGCAGCCACTGTGAGTCTCGCATTGCTTGATCCTTGATTGTTCAGTATTGAAACCTGTGCAGAGCATGAGCATGAGCGAAGTTGGAGGATGCAATTCGCCAGCATCTTGGCTGCCAGGGCCTGCAAGAGTCGTGGATGGCTTGCTTTAGTGAGCAAGCCGTTGCAGCCATGTCCTTGAATGGCTTGTTTGGGCTGGCAGGGCAGCCCTTCATGTCAGGGCCGCCCATGGTTCCAGGGCCCACGCAGATGGCAGGGCCGTCCCTGGTGCCAGGGCACATGCAGATGGCAGGGCCAGGGCCCGTGCAGATGACAGGGCCAGGGCCCATGGGAAGCCCGCCGACGAACCCGGCCTTTCTGCTGGCCTATGCCGATGGTTTGGCCAAGCTAGCAAAGGAGCAGCTTGCCTTGGAAGCTTCGTTGGCCTCGACACAGCCGGTGCCGGTGCAGAAGGAGGGCCCTCCAGGGGCTCCGGCCGGGGCTACGCCAAAGGCATCGCCAAAGCGAGGTTCCGATCCGCCACCACCGCCGCCGGAGGAGCCGACGCAGACGACGCAGACGACGGAGACACCGCCGCCGCCCCCAGAGGAGCCGATGGCCGAGAAGAAGGAGCCAGCCGCCGACGAGAAGAAGATGGAGGACATGGCGGCCCAAGGCCAAGGAGACAAAAAGCCGGTGCCGCCGAAGTCACCGGTGGCGAAGGCGAGACCCTCACTCACTCACAGGCTCTGAGGCG